GTGCTGCTGCTGCTGCTGCTGCTGCTGCTGCTGCTGCTGCTGCTGCTGCTGCTGCTGGGGCCTCTCGGTGTTGTTGGAACTCGATTGCTGGTTGGCCGCTAACCCTAAGGGTGGCGCGGCCGCTAAGGCCGAGCGGGGGGATGTCGGAGGGCTCTGGAATGCAAGCCAAGCGCTATGCTACATGCCGGCGAACTAGGAGCGTTTTTAATCCTTTCGGTGCTATGCTCCGAGTGCCCTCGATTACCCACGCCGGCGGAGCTTTAAGCTCGAATCGTTGTTAATTAATTGCGCGGGCTAATTAATAGCGCGGGTTAACGCGGCGTAGTCGTAACGCAGCTGCCGCGTCAGCTGGGAATTGTTCCGCGTGGTGCGAAAACGATGAAGGGAACGACCTTCTTTTGATAACGTCACGCAGCGTCGCCTGCCTTCGCAAACAATTTTAATTAAAACCCCGAAAGCATATTTATGAATACGACTTGTGAGCGCGAGGCAACGTGTTACCAAAAAAAGAGTTATTTCCTCCATGACGATGACGTCGCGCGTATTAATCACCCAAGCAAAACCTCTTAGACGACGAAGTAACATTAATTGATATCGCGTTAAGCGGAAAATGAGTGTGTTCGCCGGCTAGAAAAATATTAAGACTTGAGAAATCAAATTATATAATAATTAATTAGTTCATAATGCGACACGACGGATGTTGTACTATATAATTTTCACTTTCTTCTTCGCCGGTGCGTCGAAAGTATAGCACGAGAAAGAGTTAGAAAGGATTTCTATCTTGGATGAAAGGGTGAATCGTCTGACAGTCTACATTTTAGGGGGATTATTTCTTGCTATTTAGGATCTAACTATATGGTATAGCTATAAGATGCAGCGTTGCTGGGGGAGTTTCCCTCGCTTGTTATCTATGGAACCTAAATTGTAGCGTTCGTGCTGCCGCCGTCTCATCGGCGCAAAGCGGGATCGACCGTACCAGCATTTCGAACTCCACACAAATAGCTATTTATTTCCTTCGATATTATCCTCGATCGCCGCGACTCCACTCATGCAATCAATTTCATAATAATCGTGAATACTTCTAATATCCGAGGAATATCGATATTAAATACAAAACACTGTTAAAATCTCATTTATTATATCCCGCGAAATTTTTTGTTCCGAAAATTTTTAGATATCGATTTATGATGAATGTAGTAATTATTTGACTTTTACAGAACACGGTGATGTGATAAAATCGTTAGGGATGATTCCGTTGGAATATTCGAAACGACGGCACGATTCTAACGAGCAATGAGTGCACCCAGCGCATCTAAATGCACACGTGTACTTACCTGACTGTCGTTGTACTTCCGGTACTCGTAAGCGCGCTTCACGGAGACGAACGGTCGTTCGTTCATACTTTCCGCCCGCGGTCTGCCGAGAAAGCCATTTCCGATATTGCCGTTATACTTCCGGCTGCTCGATCTCTGCGGAAGTAGAGGACTAGCTGGTGCGGAGGTGTACAGTACGGCTCTCGACAGTGGCTAATCGATAAATGGCAAATGTCAACTAAGTTAATCCTAGAATGCGTGACTTATCTTTCGTGTTAGTGAATGTTATCTGTTACGAGCGACAGATTGTTATATTAGTTAGCAAAAATGATACTGTGGAGTGTAGGAAAAGTTGTGCAAGTTACGTAAGTAAAAGTGAATTTTTAATCATTTCCGACTAAATAAAGATACATTAATTTTTTGCCAAGTACACATTTTAATTCCTGCATCATTTGTGTGTTTCTGTGCATTCTAGGATTCGCGCTAAAAAACTTGTCTAATAAGTAATAAGTTGCCTATTTTTTTAACTATTGTATATAAAAATTTATGTAAAGAAAATTAAGATCAGTTGACTACCGGATTAATAATTTGCCGCAAGCAATATTTAGCACATCCTTTTATTTGAATGATTTCTTACCTGTCCTGAAACGGAGCTCGCTGCCCATGTGTCGTCATCGTCGTCGAGAACCGCTGAATCGCTCGCGTAACCATCGTGTCTCAATCTTCCTCTCTGCAAGCTCCTGAGCTCGCCGATAACACGGCTTCCGCTCTCCTGCCGCCAGAGCTTACCAGGATTTCTTTCATCTCTCCTAGCAGCGAGTTTCAATTGCTGTTGTCTCAGCCACGATAACCTGAATAATAACAAAAAAACAAAATCTCGATCTTATCTCGAGCTCTTTGATGTCTTTCCGCGAAGCGTATCGCGCACAAAGGCAAGAAATGGGAATTACTTAATTAAATAGAAGTAAAAAGAGCTAGAAGCTTCTCTGATAAATTACTCGATCCTTCAACGGTCGACGACAGAGTCAAGTTTTTCCCTTCGATATTTACGGACTCGTATATTGCGAAACTAGACGTTTTAAGAGCACGTCGTGAGAGAGTAACGCCGAATCGTTGCGACGCTCTTCGCTTTTGTGCCTCGCAACAGAGACCTATCGCGTTACGCGACGCGCAGGTGAAAATACGAGAAGCTGCGCTTTCTCGTGAGGAACACGAGACCGCGACTCCGGTAACAAAGGCTCGTTAGAACGCGCCGGCTCCTTCGCGAATAGACTCGCGGCACTCTGCTATGCCGGATTCTGGACCTCCTACCGCGATCGACGCCGATAATTACACCCTGATCGATGAGGTCGCCCCGGGCCATCGGCTCGTGGCTCCGGTGAGCGCGTTACATCCAGCCCCGTTCGCCGAGATAATAAACGACGGCCGCGGTAGCCAATCAGCGTAAGTCACGGAGGATTTCTTTTTCCAATAACAAAATTTATGCCCGCCCGAACACGTACAACCCCCGGGAGGGTTGTAAACTGCGCCTCGAGAGTGAACTTGCCGGTTGAGAAGAGCGTTAGTTTAAAGACGCATCGCTTTAAATCTTCGGATTCTCGCGCGGCGGTGAAACGCTGGAAAATTCTTTTACTGCTTTTGTGTAAAAAAAAAAAAAATAACTACTGTATAATATTCGCGACGCGTACGTACGCGCGCGCGCGCCAATGTACAATGATTTTATATATTTACATCCAGCACGAAAAATTTCACTCGCTTTGAGTAGCAGTTTCTAGTTTTCAAGCTGGAAAATTACAAATTATTTCTGCCCTACTTTTTCTGAGAGGAAAATAATTTATCTCATGACTTATAAAATTGCATGTCCAAAGATGTGCAGGAACTTCGTGAATGGCAAATGCGGAGCGCCTTTAAAGGCATGAAATATGGAAGAGTTTGGAATCGGTGAGCTCGCATCGACCTTGACCGATTCGTCGAATCTCCCGCGAGCGTTCGACGTTTATTTTAAATAAATCGTTGATTGAAATATTGGTTTGTGTTTCTCGGAAACCAAGCTCGATATGTTATATTATTAAATCGGAGAAGAATGGAATTCTGTGCTTTTTGTATTATTCATGACAAACAACAAATGCTATTTTAACTCCACTGGTTTGTTTACACGGCCGCAATCGTTTCGCAATCGCGAGGAAAGCTCACTGCGTCTCACTTAGAATTTGTTTTTTCTATTAGGCACGATTTACCGCTTTGGATTTCCGAAAGACTTATCGACGAAAATCTAATTTTGCAATCGACATTCTGCGAGCGTGACTTAAATCGTTGATTCCAAATTGATTGCAGCATGCGCGCCGTCATTTGTATCAAGAGAAATTATAAGAGACGCCCGACGCGCACGCAAGTTGAGCGTGCCATAAAATGCAATTGCATATGGATGCTCATCGAGATCTCATCTGCGTAACGATGCAATGCGCATAAATTTGCTTCGTGGATAGATTTTTAATTAAATTGCACTTCGTTTATGTTGTAAAAATTAAAAACAAGTTTCATGAATTTATAAACGTGCGGACTTGACCGTTTAAAAACATATTACACGATAAAGATATGTGTGTAATTAGATTTATTACCTGTGTGTATATATAATTTTATGCATACTGTAGATAGCTGTTAACCGTTTATTTCATAATTTTATTTACTAATTCTCACTTGTAAGTTTAAAAGATAAAGGATGTATTTAATAACAAGTGGTAATAAAATAAATGTTAAATAAGTCGTATCTTTTCCGCATTGTCTGACTAGTTACCACCGTTTCCTACTTACACCGCTTTTTTACAACATCGTTTCGCATGCTTGACATAATAATTTGCATTAAAAGTGTATGAATATGTAAAAGTCCAGTAAAAAATGTGCATGTTGTGTTAACCAGCGACATTTTTATGTGGACAGGAAGGACTTCCGTGTGCAATGGAAAAGTTTAGCTCGCAAAAGTATAGAAGTCTCATCCGTCCGGAAAGAGTGACGTAAGCGCGAGCTTGCAAAGAAAATTATGCGAGACTTTATGAGCGACTTTTGTGCTCTCACCTCGCCTTCCAATGACTTCCGCTTCCGACTGTCGTTCCTCTGGCGCTTCTGATGTTGTGAGAAAAGTTACGCAAAGATAAAATGACGCGCTACTCAATAGCGTGAAGAGAGAAACGGGCAGCGCTTCGTAGAACACACGTGTTTAAAAATAATAACTCAAATAAAACATGCACTGATGTGAGAACATAATGTTACAGACATATAAATGTGTAATACAAATATAAAATTACTTCTTCTAATAAATCTAGCTTTGTAAAGTAATATTAAGTTACAAAATAACATCTATATCGCGTAGTGTCTATTACACGTGATAACAAAGCGTTATTTTATGTTGAGCAGGAAACATTTGATATCTCACTAGCCCGTAGATCATTCCGAGTATATCAAAAGTAGGTAAAATAAATGAAGATAAATGAGATGGTGGCAGAGTGAGATATTCATGGTTCCGCAGGGCCGATTTAATGCGTCTCACTCGTCCGTTCTATATTTATAATTATGTCAGAGAGCGACCAAGCGCCCCGAAATAGGTGACTTCTTCGTCTTAAGCTCCATATTTTTCCCCGACGATACAGTCGTGTCGCGATGTCGCAACCCTCCGAAGCATGCTCATTAAATAACGCGATTTGACAGCTCGCCGTTTTTATTTTCGCGAGAGTCGCAGTGGATAGAGCGAGGATCTCCGATATCCTCGCGCCTGAAATGCCGCGTTTCTTTCACTCGCGAGAAAGTGAACCCGCCGAACTGTCCGTCGATCTCTTCGACCATAAACGTCGTCTGTTTCCCCTCTTCGGGTCGGAAGCGCTTCTTCATAAAATATCCGCGCGAAATCTCTTGCGGTTATACGGGCGCGGCGCAAAATCGTGCCGCTCACGAAGGGAGATCGCGCGTTTATTTTCACTGGGATTTCGTAGTACATATTACGATGTGAATTTTACGACGCAAATATATGCTTCGTCAAACTCAACGAGCCACCATCAACCCTCTGTAAATCAATTGTCCAAAAAGTTGTACACTTTCTTAAAATAAATAATTAAAACTAGAAGCAATAGATTAAAAATCTTTTTATTTTAATTTTTTTATTGAAAAAAATCTTTATACTCATATCAAAAATTAAAAAAAAATGTTAACGTTGAGAACAGCGTCATTTTCTAATCAAATAAAATGCTTAAATGTATAATTTGAAACGTATATGTATTACAAGAATTTTACAGATAATTACAAGATTATTTGTAGTCGACGGGAGAGGATCATACAACATAACGACATCGGTCTTTTTTGACGCGTTTTTACGACACCGCGGCTAAAAGAGTGAATGCTTGAACCGGTATGTTATTTTATAGTCGCGCCGAGCCGAAGAGGGTTAACAGACTCATTTTACGCGACCGCGTGCGTGCTTTCTCCTCCATTCACGCGCGCGGGATCTCATTCGTAAATGTACGGGGCGGGACCGAATCGCGAGAGCCTCGGGTTGCACAAAAAAATTGATGACTTCGAAGTGAACGATGTTACACAGTAACTGTGCATTTATGAAACGCGTTTACGTTTACGGCAACGCCATATAATAAATGATCCCTCTTTCGAAACATTGCTATAACCGTTTAACTTCGGTTTCTGCCGCTCTCATTTATTGTCAACGGCGTGTAGAAAGAATCGCTATAATTCTCGAAAATTATTTATTTGTACCTATTAAGATATTTATAATTTATTTCTCAGACTGTAGAATAATCATTTTTTATTCACAGAACTTTCACCTCATTTAAATCGGCATTAAATAATTAAAGTAATGGAAAAATTAATGAGCCGTACGTTCGCATCGAGCGTTATTTATTCGCGTTCGAGTTCCTGAAATCAATTCAGCAGTATGAGTTCACACAACTTCATTGCCCGTATTTAGCATATGCGTCTCGGGATCTCGCGTCATTCGTAAAATGTCACTGACTGCCGACGAGGACGTATCGCTAAATTTCTACTCCATTCGCGTTACAAACGACAGTGACTCACAACGACCGCGTTTGCCATTCGCGGCAGAAATACCGCGATGTGACTGTGTATGGGTCGGCAATTTATTAATTGCTCATGGTCGACTCGCGGATCTTTCTGTTCCCTCCTCCTCTTTCTCGTCTGTTCTCTTGAGCGCGAAAGCGGTTCTTTTGCGGCGCCCGATACGGACGACGCGTTGCAACATTATACCGCCGACGACGATCGTCTGGAAGCTCTGCCAGAGGTACGGCCGATTCGCCGCGATTCCCCTCCCCCCCGCCGACCGCCGCGGAAACCCAGTCTAATCTCTGCTTTCGCAACGTCGCGACTTATCCGCCGCGAGGAAGCCGTTTTCGGCCGTTGACAGCGTGAAACGGGTATGTATCGTGTGTCGCGAAATGTGGAGAGCGTAATTTCTCTCGGAAATGCTAAGACGGTGAAGTAAAAGCGAGGAGTTAACTGTTTGCAGAGAGAATAGAGCTGTGTAAGCGAAATATAATTTGGAACGTAATTGGCGAGGCGTGAATATTCAAACGCTTTCGCGGTTTCCGGCCCGTTTTCGAAGTGCACAGTAATTTGAAGTACGTAAAGCAGTGATTCCCACACAATTATAGATTATACCGTGAATAAATCTTGCAGGGCGAAAAGTCAAACTACTCACCCGTCGATGTGGTCCGTTCCACTCTTGACAGGCCCGTTCGCGAACTCCGGCGGTGGATCCGGAGTATTAGGACTGAGAGGGCTGATGGGTCTCCTAGAATTCTCGCCAAGAATGTCCTCGAAGTCCACGACGGGCGCCGCGCCGCGCACCGACGCCTTCCTCACTAACGAGGGCGACGACAGCTTCTGATGCTTTATCATGTCGGTGGTGGCGCCGTACGAGAACGGCTGACTGGTCTGCCTGGCGTGATACGGGATGTCCTCGTCGATGAAGTCGATGTTGCCGGGCGGCGAGAAGGAATCCGCGTGCTTTCGGTAGGAATCGTTGGAGGACTCGGATATCTTCCGATCCGGGGACACGCGATATTCGAAATCGTCCCGCCGATGCTCGACGCTCTTCGACGAATCTCTGTACTCGTTTTTCAGAGTGCTGTAGCTGCTGCTGGAATTGTAAGGCGGACTGGACTCCTTGCCAGCCCCGTAGCTCCTGTACGAGTCCTTCAAGGTGGAATAAGTAGAAGACGTCGGGTGACTGCTGTAGCTGCGTGTTTCTTGAATGTACATCTTCTCGTTTCGATCGCGATTGTAGTTCTCCGTCGGAGGATCTGGCATAGACTGCGAAACAAATTTTACAATGTAACGTTTGAAGCGTGGATCGTTTCTTCTAATTAGTTAATTCTTCAATTTTGTTGCACGTGTATTCCAAAGATTGAGAATGCAGCAATAATTATCTATATTATAGACGATTAACGATGAAAAAACTTAATTACCTCGACGGTGAGCATCATATCATGGAGAAGCTTGTCGAGGTCTCCGTGAGCCTGATTTTCCGGCTCGGGTTCCGGCGGGCTGGGTCTTTGTGGCGGTGCGCTGCTTATGCCACTGTCCATAGAAACCGTCAAGGGCGAGCCGCGGGCACCTCCTGCTGAGCCCTGATGCACCACGGCGTACAAGGATCCATCTATAGGACCGCAGGTGTAACCCAAGCCACGAGGTGACGTCTGAACCGAGGAGCTCGAAGGAGGTGGCGGTGACAGCGGAGTCTCACGGCCTTCTGGAAGGAAACATGCGCCCGAATATAGTACAATGATGACGCTAATTGAAAGGAAATATATTTTACGCTCCTATCAATTGTTTTTTTCTTTCAATATACTATTACGTTTTATTAAAGAGAGTATAATTCAAATAAGTTGTCGTTTTTTCTCGAAATCAACCGATCGATGCTAAGAATATAAATCAAAGTGGATAAAACATTCTGCATTCTAATTACAATGAGAGTATGCGCGTAGATAGCGCAAGAGTTAAGCCGCAAATAAATTCTCTCGGAGATTCTTCTTGTGCAGAAATATCTGCGGGCGCCCGCGTGAACTATAATTCCGCAAGCCTCGGGAAATCGAGGAGCTTGTTAGAGGAACAACAGCCGGCTATAAATTGTTGACTGACTCTCGAATACGAATCGCAACGAGCGAGTTAAGAATCGTCCATATTGTATATTTCTCCTTCTACCGACGCATCACGCCATTTAGAGCTAATTGCTCGGCCAGTTTCTAGGACGTTAAAATTGTCCATAATTAAAGTGAAACGAAGCACGATTATCGGTCATCGTCGTGCGATTTTGCACAAGCTGCTCTTCGCGAATTTTTTTCCGAAGAAGTTCGAAATCCTACTTTAACACAAATGCTTTTGTCAATCCATCTTTTGTGAAGTTTGTATTATTACTAAATTGACGCGACTGTTTTTGCAATGGATCTTTTACAAAGTCGATGTCGCAATTTAAACAGACAATAGGTCGACGCAATTGCTTTGTTAGGAGCATAATTCCCGGAAACCCATTGCATCGTCGCAAGTTCGCAGCAAGGGTTTCTGGAAGTCCACGACCAGCCATGATTACTTGGTCCCCGCCGGCGTCCCGGCTGCTTTCTTAGGGCGCAACCTCGACGGAGTCTTTTTTTCCCGGTGACCTCGCGACACGGGGCTAACCTACTACAAGAATTACGTCATCCACGCCGCGCAAATTACTCAACCATAATATAACGACGGATTAACTGTAAATTGGCGCAGCTCGAGAAAAGAGAAAGGCTAATGGAATAGATAATATTTTATATTTTAGCGGTAATTAAAAACTATGAAACAGCTTTAGAGTTTGAACAACTTTAAGATTTTATAGCGTAGAAAAGATTATCGTGCCATTAAATGAAATGAAAGATTATTTAATATAAAAACATTGCAACATCGCTTTAACAAGACTGCAACTAGAATTGTATAAACATAAGTGGGGGAAATAAAAAAGGAACATTTTATATGTCGCTAAGGATTTTCCGACACGTTGAAAATCCCATCGGCTAGCCATTAACGACGCGAAAGCTTCTGAGAATAGAATTTACACCGTATAAAAAGAAATGCAACAAGAAATCGACCAAGCGACGGTAAGAAGTTTATTTAACTCGCTGGCGAAGTTGGGTAACAATGTTGAGGATAAAAAGGCGCGAACCCAGCTGTAGATACAAGTAACAAAATCGAGAACACGCCCGTAACCAGGGTCGAACTTTCTGCGAGCGATAAAACTTTACCCGAATGTACTCGCGCAGAATAGAAGTACGATGGGAAAATGGAAGTCCAGATACGGTGGCGTTTATTAAGTTTTCCAAGTGTTAAGCATCCAATTACTTTTCGAGATACCGATCATTCATATTTGTTCGGTGGATAGCCGTGCAGGCAAAGACGACAGGCTAAACTGCACACAGTAACGATTAACACGTACCGCTACATCACGCGCGCATGATACACACGCGGTAAACCCGTTTTCAAGAAGAACGAGCAAAAGTTCGCCTTCGAACAAGCGAGGGGATTAACAGCACGACGAAAGCGCCGCTTCATCGTGCCGGCGAGAGAAGCAGCGTGCTTGCCGCGAGATTCCGCATATATTTGGCGCGGATTAACCATCCGTGCTGTGATATCTCCTACGGCGCCACTCGGTGCGCTCCTTCGCGTCCGGTTTGCACAGCTGAGATCCTCGCTGCTTTATATGCACCGACAACCGTAACGTTGCGTCGGCGAAGAGAGCAACGCGAAACTAGCATCCGGCGCTGTAAAACGTCCGCGGCGAGGCGAGGGATGGTTTCTCGGTGTGAGGAGTCCTTAACGGGTCTCTGCGTCGAGCGTATGTGTATCCGGTAGCGGCGCGGCGTGCGTGTGCGCAGAATTTCGCGGCGGTTTATTTTTCGCCCTGCGCCTACGTCCCTTTTTTGTACCTGTCTCTCTCTCTTTTTCTTTCTCTCGAATCGTTCGCTTTGATCCGACATTCGGTGCGCCGCGGGGCGCAAATGTGGCCGATGCACTTGGCGCCTTAGGCCGCTGTCATGCTCTACGTCTCTCTCCGGTGACAGCGGCGGTGCTCTGAGCTAACGCAATCGCGCTGCTTACGACCGCTGGATTATCGACTTAATTGGAATTCCCAGGGTGTAATTATTCGTTTGGATTGCGCTACGCGCGATTGGACTCGCTGTTAACGTAATTCGCCCGCCGGAATGTGTCCGTTTTTTTTTCTTTTTTTTTCCCTCCGCTTGATCGGCGTTGAAATCGCTCTGGCAGTTGCAAAACACGCGTCATGTTGTTTGTATAGCGTGTATCTTACATTTCACAAGTCATATCTTCATCAAGACTGAAATTTGCATAAATTTAGATTTGTGTTTTCCGACAAGAGAAGCCTGGCGGAGGGTAAATATGCAATGCCGCGGCACATGTTGCCAAATTGCTATATTCGTAAACTTGAGGTAGTTAAAGTTAATTAACTAAAGTCTCTTGCGGATGCGCGATGACTCAAGCCGTACGCCATATTTCTGCGTGCGTATTTACAGCTCTCTTAACTGCCACGACCGCAAAACTGTATATCCCGGCTACAGTATCGCCACTGCCAAAAGCCAAAAAAGTGGGACGGGAACTCCGTCGCGATGTTCACGATAATGCGAAAAAATGTAGACGGCCATAACGAATCACGAAAACGCTATTACCGTCGTTACGGACAAACACGCTGCGATAATGACGCGATCGGGATCGGTGATCGGGGCTAATTTAAGATCATCACGGGGGAGATTCCACGAAGGACATCGGATATAATCTTGTAAGGCCGTGCGGGGAGCCTCATTTGAATTCAATCCGCATCGCCGCAATCTCGTCGACACATCGCGCCCGGTATACATCATTTTTATTCGGACGACTCTCGGTTATTATACTCGAACCGGTCGGCGCGTTCTGTCAACGACGACAAATCTACTACCTCGCGCACGGAACGCATTTAACGCCCGCTCGCGAGCAGATCGCACACGGGGCTTAAGATGAGTTTTCTACGGAAATCCTATAAATATGCAAACAACTAAAGCATTTATGCTTATAATAAATAGAACCTTTCGTCAGCTAAAAATATGCATAATAATACGATTGCGTAATAATAAAAGCACGGCGATATGCGCAATATTAATTGAATTTTGATAAGCACAAAAGACGATTACACAATTCGAAACCGGTCCAGAATTATGATTAATGCGGCGTTGCATGTGGCAGGAAATTTTCATGAGTGTACATTTTTAAGAGGCACGAGAATTCTGTCGCCGATCGAAGATTATTACTGTTGCGATATAGGTTTCTTCTCAGAGCACAATGATGGAACTCGAACATGGCCGTCGACGATGTTATATGCGAGGATTAATGATGCTGATGAGGATGTAGTAAAAGTACAAAATGTACCAACGTAATCAATAACGTGTTGTTACGTTAATAACGGTAGCGAAAAAACTTATTTTTTACTCTTCGTTCGTACGTTTTATCAAACGAGATTAAATCCGAGATTGTGAGAGCGAATGCAGCAAAAACCACCTGAGACTACCTCAGATTTTTTCGAAGGATTCAGCCGGAAGGCACGATTAACGATTTTCGGTTGATTTAATGAAGCGAGTTCTCATCGACGTCACGTGAAAGCAATGGTCTGAAAGGAAGACGTAACGCTGCATCGCCGAATTGCGTGCTCCGGCGCATTCACCGGACAGTGTGTGGATTCGGGATTGACGTATCGTTCGGATAAAAGAGAGACGAATGGCCGTTAACGGTCGACCCGATTAAATTATCGGAGGCATCTCGCAATCTCGACATGCGATGGCCGACATAAGCATGATTGAAGCATTTGGTTGAGACGTCGCGGCTAAAAATAGCGACACAACGAAAATGCTAATATCGCGGTATTACATGCCGCACGCACAGACCGCATAATAGCCGTAATAATAGCGCGGTTACGCACCGTAAAGGCGACAATTAAGCGCCCTTAACGATAAATTAATTAAGCTTGGGGCTTCCTCGCGACGGGGAAACGAGCCAGGCTCGTAGCTGCGAGCGCCGCGCCGTATCTCGAAAATGCAAGGGGTTTTCTCGTTAATCACGCCCGAGAGCGGCGCGCGTATAAATTCCTGCGAGCGTTGCGCGCTGCGGCCCGGAAAGCGCGCTCTCGGGCCGCAGCTGCAACTGCACACCGCGGTCGCTGATCACGCGGCGGATAGCGGCGTCGCCGTCGGCCGCACGCTCCAACGCGAATCGGCCGGGGATTTATTGCGCCAAATGATACCGTCGACTAGCTTTCCGTCCGACCCTTATTGCAATTTCTTCGACGCGCGTCGCGCTTTCTGCATTTCGCGCCGCGATGCGCCATGCGCCGCGGCATCAACGACGAAATCGGCCGCGCGCGATTTATCGCCGTCGTTCGTCATCCGCGAGCGATCGCACACAACGGGTGATCGAAGTGTCTCGAGGCTCTACCTACTGGCAATATATGCAGAAGACATTGATAATATGGTATAAATGAAAATTTTATCAATGTATTTCATCCCACATTGAAAGACAGTTCTGAAACATTGCAGCAAGAAAGCCTGAAGCTGTATTTGATACACGAAGTATTGAAAACGACAAGATAGACTTGATTTACAATAATAATAGATTGAACAGCACACATTTTCTGAATGTCTAATTGTCATGCAAATTGCCAGGCTCATCCGATTGCGATGATAATAA